TTCATATCTGGAAGTGTCATCATTGGCTTCAAATGATCTCCAAAGGTTCGACAAACTAAAATTAAAGCCTCACTTGTTCACATTTTGTGATGAAAAAATGTGATGTTTTCTATCCCAATAGACTTTTGTTAGCCTTTTTTGGTGAATTTAGAGGTGTAACGAGAAGATGCAAATGAATCTCCTTACAGACTTACAAGCTACCACAATGCTTCACAAGCCAGTCACATTTCATGGCCGAAGCCAATCTATGATGACTTTTACTTTCTTGTGGTTGAACTTGATCTCTTTATTACCACTTTCAAACCACTGATAGAGTAGAATTTTCTTCACAAAATCGCACTTCTTTATACTCAAAAAGCGTTGGTTCTTCTTTAAAAGGTTAACCACTTTCTACAATGTCTGAAATATTCCTCCCACATTCAACTATAGATGAGGATATTATCGAAGTAGACAATCACAAAATTCTTAATAGCTGGTCGTTGAATGCTATTCATCATATGCATATGTATTGCTGATGCATTGCGAAGACCGAATAGCATTATCAACCACTCATTCAATTCATGTTTAATTTTGAGCATGATTTTCCACCTATCTTCCTCCTAAAATTGGACCGAGTGTTAGCCCAATTTTACATCTGTCTTGGTGAATATTTTTGTATGTTTTAGTCAGTTTAACAAATTGTCAACTCTAGAAAGTGGGATTGATTCTTCTCTATGATTTTATTCAATGTCTGATAGTTCATGCACATCCACTAACTACCACCAATTTCGGTTCCATCACAATTTGAGATCCACATTACAAGTTGCTTGGCTTAATGATTCCTTGGTTTAACAACGCAACCGCTTATTTTTTTTTTTTCCTCTCATCATTCTCTTCCACCAAGTAGCGGTACGCCGGTACATCTTGATGGCGGACAGAGAGAAATTCGAGAGAAGATGGATGTCAACTTGACGGCTCATTGAGGACGTTATCCGCCCAACTCAGGGAAATGCTCTTAGTATTTTTCCACTAGTATTGTATTCCTCATCTTCATTTTTCAAGTTTCCGAGCTATCTCTTTTCCTTTCTCCTTCTCTTGATTCTTCTTGAACCAAGGCTTTCGCATTTCTATAATGCTTCTCCTATTGGATAAAAGGCAAAATGAAATATTGGTGCACTTTAAGTTCAACATATCTACCATAAAGTAGATATCAAGTACATGTTTTCAATGTCAACACCACCTGTTGGATCCAAATTTGTCCGTGGAAGACACCCTAACTCTACTCACAAGACTAGCTAGGAGGAGTGATGGAAAGGAGAAACATATAAGGTAAAAATTACATGATGTTCTCCCCAATTCTCTTGTACCTTTGAAAAATGACTTGTGAAATGAATGAGGCAACTATACAAGAACCTTTTATTATTTTACCAACTACTAGAACAGAGTAGTAGCAAAATTTATTGCCCTCCTTTATTGCTACATTGGGAAATGTGCATTATTTATAATTTCAATAGTAACATTTAATTTGACCATTATACCATCATTACCTATAAATTGGAGTGTGGTGTCATTTAGGCTGCTTAATCCTCATTCTCCATGCTATCTTTATTTGTTGGTTCAACTAGCTCGAAAATGGCCGAGTCTAGTCCTTTAAAATTCAGTAATGTTGATAACTGCAAATTGCAGAAAGCCTTCTTGCACAAGCTCAAGGCAAAACATGTGAAATTTGAGGGATAGAAATCCAAATAACCTACGTAAGTCAAGAAGGTGGCAATAAGAAAGCAAAGAAGAAGAAGCTAACACACATTTCTGACTCCCAAGACACACTCCTTGAAAAGAGGCATGCTAAAATCATCTCAGCAATTAAGGAAGCTGACTCAATCCCTTCAATCAATTTCCCCGAGCACGATGGCTCATTACTCCAATCCAAGTAATCCTATTTTAAGTATGAGTCAAAATATTACTTGTTAGGACATTATACTTTTAGACTTTACTTACAAGTGGAACTAGCGGGTGCCCAAGTTCCCATGCTATTCTATAGAAAGTGGGTAGTGGTGAGTTGCTTCGAGAGGTAAGATAGGCCCCTTTTTCATATTTGAAATATTTATGTTTGGGAACTCGACGTCGTCATATTTAAATGGGCATAGAATTCATATGATCATGGACGAGTTTTTAATTCATACATTTAGATAGTTAGAGGAAATAGCTCTCGAGATTCATCCATCTAGATCACCAAACCTTTATACTCAGCTCATTGAGATTCCTCATAGCATTTTGGATCGAAAACTCCAACTTCCTAATCATTCGTTCAATATGATAAGCATGACTCTTGCTGGAAAATTGGAGGAAGATGTGGGAAGGTAGATGTTGACTTCACACGAGATTGTTCCCACTACATGCCTAATGAGGTGGAACCCATACGAACCCCACCCACCAACTTTTTCCCAAGAGCCATGTAACATTCACCCTATATTACCTTCATGTTGTTCATGAGTCCACTTTGCCTTGCTTGCGAAGAGGTCCGAGTGCTAAGATTTGGCAACCATGTTAGATCTAATTTAGACCCTAGAAGAACAACTCGAAAGAGTCAAGTCAAAGTATAAAGAGAAAAGAAAGCAGGTCATAGACCAAAAAAGAAGTTCCCCAAAACTATTGACGAGGCCCCTGACTTGGTTCGTCTAGAGGTGTAGAACTTAAAGTACAAAGGTGGTGACAACTCGCAAGCTCTTGGAGTTGTTCATATCAAGTTAGTTTCGAGCAAGAGGTGAATTTATTTTGAGACACCTAGTCAAGAATGGGGTTATTTCCTTCGATGTTTTGTTAGATGATGGGGTAACTTGAAAGCTCTTGGAGTTCTTCGGATTTTTTTTTTTTTTTGGTGGGAGAGAGAGATAGTCCGCCTTCATATTTAACCCTTGTAATTATAGTATATGAGCTTTTAGTTTGCATGTAACAATTGTTTATTGTGTATATTTCTAAGCATGAATAGTAAAGTTAATTCATTTGTATATGAAGTGCCCCGGTGAATAACTTTCTTTTTGGCTCGTCCGTCAAATGTGAACAACCTTATCAATAATGATGTTGAAGAGATGGTGTATGACATTCAATCAATTATGAAAAATGTGACTTCCATGAATTACAAAGTGCTTAATCTATGGTCATTTTCATTAAATCCATATTCACCACACCTCCATCGACGACACTCTGATCCAACTCACAAGACTAGATAGAGTGGTAGAACGAGTGAAATAAGAGATGGGCAAGTAAGTATAAGAGGATTATGAAATTCTATTATTCTTTGTTAAAGGTAAAATAAAATAAAGTCAAAAAATGCCTCACAAACTCATATTTATTCTCTATAGGATGGTAGATGGTGATTTCACAAGAGACCGTTCCCATTGTGAGGTGGAACCCGCCCACCAATTTTTTCCCAAGGGCATATAACCTTCTCCCTACATTACCTCATGTAGTTAGCAAGTCCACTCCACCTCGTTTGCTAGGAGGTCGGAGTGATAAAATTTTCATGTTGCCCATGAAGCTGGTGGCCATGTTAGATCTAATTTAGAGCCTAGATGAATAACTTGCAAGAGTCAAGTCTAAGTACTAAGAGGAAAAAAAGTGGATTGTAGACCTAAAGAAAAAATAAGTCCCCCAAAACTACTAATGAGGCCCCTGACTTGGTTCATCAAGAGGTGGAGGACTTAAGAGCAAAGGGTGTGGCAACTTTCAAGCTCTTGGAGTTGTTCGGATCAAGTTAGTTTCGAGCAAGAGGTGAATTTGTTTTGAGACATTTGGTTAGGAATGGGGCTATTTCCTCGAATGTTTTATTTCATGCCTTCAAGTTTTTTTTTTATATAGAGAGAAAGAGAGAGAGACTCGCCTTCATATTTAACCCTTGTAATGATAGTATATGAGCTTTTAGTTTGCATGCAATCATTGTTTATTATGCATATTTCTAAGCATAAACGGTAAAATTGATTCATTTGTATATGAAGTGTCTTTGTGATGAATTTTCTTTTTTGATCATCCACCAAATGCGAAAGACATTGTCAATAATGATCTAAAGTGCTTAATTTATGGTCATTGGCATCAAATCCACAATTACCGTACCTTTCAGGATGTTGTATCCAATCACGTCCATCGTGACAATCTGATCCTACTCACAAGACTAGCTAGAGTGGCAAAGCTAGGGAAATAAGAGATGGGAAAGTAAGGAGAAGAGAACTATGAAATTCTATTAATCTCTGTGAATAGCAAAAATAGAATGAAGTCAAAAAATGCCTCACAAACCTATATTTATAATATTAAAAAGACTATAGGAGAGGCTACACCTAAAGAATAATAATAAATACATGATTTGACTGCTAATGATATGTGGATAAGGTTTTGATTGCTACAGAAGGACACCAGTCTCTGCCATGGCTTTGGGACACCTTTGGCGAGTGCCTGCATCAAGTATCTTCGGTGAATGCTTGGGCCTTTAGCAAGTGGCACCGACTAATTACCCTAAAAACGGAGGCCTCTAGCTAGGGCGCATACTGGATTAATAAGTTGTTGTTGTTAGGTGTACAACCCTCTATTCAAGATGATTTCTCCTAAGGCAAGTGCTTCAATCAGACAAATTCTTTTGAGGTCTGACCCCCCCCCCCCCCCCGGGTCAAAAACCGAACGATCCGAATGTATACCGAGCAATACCGAGTTTTTGGTGACGTGGCGCGCGGTTATTAGCCTCTGAATGCGTTCGGTTGACCGAACGTAATAATTGCTCCATCTAAGATGAGTTCCTCTCTCAGTTCCTGCAACTTGTCCGGATGCTGCATCAGCATATCGGGCTATACACCACCTTTTGCACAGAGAAAGAACAGTAAGAAAATCAAAGGTAGAGAGCCTGCAGAGAATTTAATTAAATTAGGAAACAAAGGCAAAGATAAGTCATAATATCAACCAGCCTATATCTTTAAATAGCCTCGTAATGCAAGGCTGCAAAATTAATTAAATTGGTGATTCCATTAGATGCAAACCTGGTGAATCCCAAGGTCGAACGCTAAATGGGTTTACTTCAGTGATAATGTTGGAAGGAATAGGATCCCCAGCTTTCCTTTCCCCCAAAAACAGCAAGACCTCTTCATCTGTAGAGCTGACATTAATATCAAGTCGATGAGAGATGGAAGCCGGCGGGCACATCGCTGCCTCTGTCTACAAAATAAAAATAAAAAAACAAATCAAATTCAACTCCAGCAATATTATGTATCATGTAATCAATAACGTACAATAGCGTCCTCAACACAAAAGGAAGGCTCTGTCAGAAAGCAACGAAACTAAGCAATTGAGACTACTTTTCTGATAACCATAAGATCAGTAATGATATATATTCAACGAACTGAACTAACGCAATTACAAAAGATAACCAGCAGCATCAAAAGCTGAGATCTAAAAGAGTCTTTCAATAAAATAAGTGCCAAGATGAACGAATAGTTCCAATTATACAAACTAAATTCTTTATCTAATCAAATCATCAAACAACAAATCGATTCAAAAGCCCGATAAGGTAAGCCAATCAAAACCTCCATAAATTTTGTCGATCATGTATCATCCAAATACCAAGAACCCAGAGAACAACAAAAACTGATTTTTCATCATTCTAATCCGGAAAACCATCAATTTAAGGTATCGTAAAAGGAATCTAGAATCAATGATTCGAAATCCCGAATCCTGATCCCAGCAGAAAGGATACATTCACCAATCCAAATTGAGATGATCAGCAATCAAATCAAGGAATTGAAGACCGACCGCAACTAAAGCGTCGAAGTGCTTTAACTCCTCACTCCCCTCCACCGTGCTCGCTCACCGCTTGCAGAGAGCCGCCGCCCTAAGCTGTTTCCGCAGCCCCAAATCCAAATTTGGAGAGAGGAGCTACTAACGAAGTGACATTGTCCGCATTTATTTATCTTAGTTAGGATAAACTGATCGGCTCCTTAGATATACCCATGGCGAAGGGTCATCTGCAAATCAAGTCCGTTCATAAAAAACTGATGCGAAAATGGACGGTAATGATGGATGGTACAGCCGTTTATATGTATGTGATACAGCATCATATTCTAAAAGAATATATTTGATTTCGGAATAATTATCCATATTTCTAATTAAATATCGCTACAACAGTAAAAATAAAAAATAAAAAATTTAAATAATGTATTTAATTAATTTATCTCCAATTCAAAATCAGTATCATAAATTCAATTATAGAATAATTTTGAATATTATTATGTGATAGAAAATTTATGAAAAATGTTCTCTTTCTCACAATTGAAAAAAGAAGGGATTATGTTAGAAAGTTGTATGATTCCTATTGTATGCGTTATAAAATTATGAAAAAACAAAGATTTAATCGATTTTACAAATAATATTATTTGATTTTTTTTAATATTAGATTAGATTGTAAACTATATTTTGCAAAACCATCTCACAATTAAAGAGCAATATCAATAAACTATTGTGCCTTATAACTGACACCGAACCGGAGAGGGCTCGACGAATCCACGTCGAATATCAGGTGACGTGACCAAGAACTCCTTGGGAGAGGGATCACCACCTGAAATTTTTCAGGATACAGAAACCCAAAACGAAAGTAAAACTACTCAAATATTATTCATATCTCAAAATAGAATCTCTATTATAAATAAAGGCTCCTATTTATAGACAAATGTAACTCATAATAGATTACACTCAAAACAAGAGAGCTCTAATTACTAAGATGACCCTTCGCCGTAGGTATATCTAAGGAGTCGATCAGTTTATCCTAACTAAGATAAATAAATGCGGGCAATGTCACTTCGTTAGTTGCTCCTCTCTCCATATTTGGATTTGGGTCTGCGGAAACAACTTAGGGCGGCGGCTCACTGCAAGCGGTGAGCGAGCACGATGGAGGGGAGTGAGGAGTTAAAGCACTTCGACGCTTTAGTTGCGGTCGGTCTTCAATTCTTTGATTTTATTGCCGATCATCTCAATTTGGATTGGTGAATGTATCCTTTCTGTCTGGGATCAGGATTCGGGATTTCGAATCATTGATTCTAGATTCCTTTTACGATACCTTAAATTGATGGTTTTCCGGATTAGAATGATGACAAATCAATTTTTGTTGTTCTCTGGGTTCTTGGTATTTGGATGATACATGATCGACAAAATTTATGGAGGTTTTGATTGGCTTACCTTATCGGGCTTTTGAAACGACTTTTTGTTTGATGATTTGATTAGATAAAGAATTTAGTGTGTGTAATTGGATACCTCAAGTAATGGAAACTGAACTATTCGTTCATCGTGGCACTTATTTTATTGAAAGACTCTTTTAGATCTCAGCTTTTGATGCTGCTGGTTATCTTTTGTAATTGCGTTAGTTCAGTTTGTTGAAAATATATCATTAGTGATCTTCTGGTTATCAGAAAAGTAGTATCAACTGCTTAGTTTGATTGAAGCACTTGCCTTAGGAGAAATCATCTTGAATAGAGGGTTGTACACCTAACAACACAACTTCATTAATCCAGTATGCGCCCTAGCTAGAGGCCTCCTTTTTTAGGGTAATTAGTCGGTGCCACTTGCTAAAGGCCCAAGCATTCACCGAAGATACTTGTTGCAGGCACTTGCCAAAGGTGTCCCAAATCCATGGAAGAGACTGGTGTCATTCTGTAGCAATCAAAACCTTATCCACATATCATTAGCAGTCAAATCATGTATTTATTATTATTATTTAGGTGTAGCCTCTCCTATAGTATTTTTAATATTATAAATATAGGTTTGTGTGGCATTTTTTGACTTCATTCTATTTTTGCTATTCACAGAGATTAATAGAATTTCATAGTTCTCTTCTCCTTGCTTTCCCATCTCTTATTTCCCTAGCTTTGCCACTCTAGCTAGTCTTGTGAATAGGATCAGATTGTCATGATGGATATGATTGGATACAACATCCTGAAAGGTGCGGTAATTGTGGATTTGATGCCAATGACCATAAATTAAGCACTTTAGAATTTATGGAGATCACATTTTCCATAATTGATTGGATCTCATGCCGTATATCTTTGTCATCATTATTGACAATGTCTTTCGCATTTGGTGGACGATCAAAAAGGAAAATTCATCACAAAGACACTTCATATACAAATGAATCAATTTTACCGTTTATGCTTACAAATATGCACAATAAACAAGGGTTACATGCAAACTAAAAGCTCATATACTATCATTACAATGGTTAAATATGAAGGCGAGTCTCTCTCTCTCTCTCTCTCTCTCTCTCTCTCTCTCTCTCTCTATCTCTCTCTCTCTCTCTAAAAAAAAAACTTGAAGGCATGAAATAAAACATTCGAGGAAATAGCCCCATTCCTAACCAAATGTCTCAAAATAAATTCACCTCCTGCTCGAAACTAACTTGATTCGAACAACTCCAAGAGCTTGCAAGTTGCCACACCCTTTGCCCTTAAGTCCTCCACCTCTTGATGAACCAAGTCAGGGGCCTCATTAGTAGTTTTGGGGGACTTATTTTTTCTTTAGGTCTACAATCCGCTTTTTGTCCGTCATTAATCTTGAAAGTAGCGAAATTACAATAGATTGGAGAATTTTCCAAACTTCGTATATGTACTTGGGAATTTTCAATGATCATGATTGAACGATGGATGTCAGAAGTCTACTGGTAATGGTTGGGAGAATGTTCAACATAGATTCGATGATGGAGTTAATCAAATGGTCAAACATAGTTTTGATGACGGTCAGCGGTTGAGAAGAGATTTGGCGGTGGCGGGGCCCGAGATGAGATCCGGCTATAATCAGTGAACAAGAGTAAGTCCAATGACGGCTGATGATGGCGAAGAGATCTTACAATGGAAGCGCCCAGGTGGAGATTCGACAATAATTAGCAGACAAGCGGAAGTCCAAAAATGGTTGGTGGTGGGGAAGAGATTCGTCAGTAGCGGCGATGGCTAGAAAATGCAAGTGAGTTCTCTAGTTTTCTTCTTTTCTTTCTCCCTCTTATGTGAATGAAAAATGAGGGTCTATTTATAGTTTTTTAGGGAGTAGCATAGCTTAAACATATGGAGAAGATCTTGAGCTAATTTTGAGTGTTCCATTGGACAGTTCTTATTGATTCTCTTGATCATGAAATATTAATCGAGCATTTACGTGCCTTAATAATATCAAAATTGAGTGATCTTAGGCTAATTGGATTTGTCTCGTTAAGCCGCTTGATTTGCCTATAAGCATGTCATATTTGGATCTCCTTTGGACATCCAATTAATAATTTGAAGTTTTTAAATATGTTTTGGTCCTTTGATTTTGGCCTATTTGGGCTCGAATTGAATCAAATTTGGTATCATTAGGTTTGTCTTCTTGAGATGCTCATTTGACTATAAATTTACTGAAATAGGGGTTTGAATAGTCCGGAATTTTATTTTGAAAGTTTTTAATTCAGATTTGAATCAAGATTCATGCCCAATCATGGCAATTTTTTGTGACATGTCATATATAAAACTCATATTGTTTTATCTTTTTTTCTATAGAAATAAGCGAATCAAAATTGGTAAATAAGTATGACATATTAAACTGTTTCACAAATTATGGTAATTACATTTAATTTTTTATTATCTTTCTTAAAATTTTAATTTTACTATCATTTTTAATAAAACCTCGATATAACAAATTCATATTGTTATTAGATTTTAGTGTTATTTCAAAAGGAATCCTCATAGTACTTTGAAATAAGAGCGTAAGTGAGTCGATTAGTACTCGATCATTAACAAACTAACAATACGAGTTTATAAAGCTACAAGTTTGAGCTTGAGCCTATACTCGAGCTCTTATATTTCTAATAGCTTACGTGCTCTAGTATAAACTTATAAAAATATTTAGTATATATTACACGATCTTAAGCATTAAGCTCAATATTATTTGGCTCGTAAGCATGTCAAGCTACTCGTTTAAATTAATGCACATTTCAAATTTAATTTCAGAATATTATAATTATAATTATAATTATATCAAATATGTTTAATTATTCCTCAAGTCAAGTTTGAGCTTTCCAAATGAGCTTGAGCCTGACAATTTCCAAGCGAGCCGAGTTCAAGCTAAGCAAATGAGCTTGAGTTCGAGCTTTGTAAGAATTAAATTAGTCTAGCTTAATTAGGATTGATGTGACACTAAAAATTGCTTTAATTGGGTGTGAATCTTGATGTATATCCTAATTGTAAACTTTCAAAATTAAAGTTGGGACAATTCAAATTCTGATTTTAGCAAACTTGTTGTCAAATTGAATGTATCAATGAGATGAACCCCATGACACAAAAATGGCCCAATTCAAGCACAAATGGGCCCAAATCAACTGAGCAAAGCAAATTCGGAAGCTTAAAAATATTAATTGAATAATCAAATAATCTCAAAATATGACAAGCTTATAGTCAAATTGCTTAATTCTATCTTCAGGACACCATTAATTTATAACCAATTACAATCACTAGAGGAATCATTTTAACTGGCTAGGTCCCATGATTTTTTTTATTTAGTATTTTATGTGTAAAAATTTTTGTATCTCCTATAATTATTTTACCCTCTCTCTTTTATTTATGTGTGCTAGATCTCTGTATAAAATTAGGACGCTACACTATACATCTCTTTACTGCCGTGAATATTTCGACGTACAACAAAGTTGACTCGACGACTCATTTCCACTCCTATTTGAAGATTTCAAAAGGTCCAAGAATAAAGAAGAGATTAGTTTTTGTAAAATAGTACAAGTTATTATTCTTTATTATAAATCTCAAATTAAAAAAAAAAATGAAAAACATGCTACAAGAAGATTTGCACATAAATCTTAAAAAATTCTAAGATAATTTTTATAAAAATCCGAAGTAAATATAACAGAAGGATAAAAAAATACGTGAAATTTTCTCTATTCAAATTTGTTTTACTAGAATTATAAATCACTTAATATTTTATAAGAATTAGAATATATTAAAAAAAGAGGGTGTCATCATAATCTTAATTATTATATGCATTATGGTGTCATCAAATAGATGATAAAAAAAATATCAATAATTAAATGTCTATTAAAGCACGCAAATTTTGTTCGAATTTTCATAATTTATAAATAATGACGTCGATAAATAGTAAATATTATCGTTACGATAGCACTGCAGCAAAGTCGTTGTAGTATAGTGGTGAGTATTCCCGCCTGTCACGCGGGTGACCCGGGTTCGATCCCCGGCAACGGCGTTCTTTTTTTTTTTTGTGATAATTTGGGGATTTTCTTCGGGCCAAAATTTAAAAAGAAGCAGATTTTAAACAACATTATGTAAAAAGAACATAATTAAAAAAAAATTAAAAAGCAGCAAATGAGCGGAAATACTCATTCTAATGATTGTACGCTTCCTTCCCTTAGGGCCTTAAAAATTTCAAATGCGCCAAATTTTTGAACGCATTCTAAATATGTCAATCTCATTGGCGTATTTTCCATGAGAGAGAAAAAGTGAGGGAATAGAGGACGGGGAAGAGAAAAAGAGGGAGAGAGTGGACAGAAAAAAAAAATTTTCAGCGTATTTGATGCTTTTTAAATTTTTTTTAATTATGCTCTTTTACATAATATTGTTTAAAACCCGATTCTTTCTAAAATTTGACCTTTTCTTCGTGCTTTTTGTTTAGCACCCCAATCTTCCTCTAGAGAGATTATTAGGTGCGGAGTGTGGATGGGGAGAATCGTTCGCACAAGTTTTATTCCGCGTTAGATGCCAGTACTTGATGTTTGTGCAGACGGTGCACACTCCGCACCTAATAATTTTTCCTTCCCCCTCCGAGCTTCCAGCAGAGGAACTGCATTTCTTTACTGAGATGTTAATACTCACAGGATAATTTTTGAATTTTTTGATCTTATTAAGAGGAATAGGAATTTTAAATAGAAAGTCAATTCTTAAAATAAGATGAATTATTTTTCTTAGCTTTTGTTGTAATTAAATCATTAAAATAAAATTATATTTTAAAATAATATTTATATACGTTATAACTCTCTTAGGGGCTATTCGATTTGACGAAAAATTGTCTAAAGATGTGGGAGTTTTAAGAATGTTCGAATTGAATGAAGTAAAATAAATGTATTGTAAATTTTTAATATATTTGAAATTCATAAGATTATTTTTAATGTATTTAGAAATTCTCAAATTTGAACTATTTTCAGATACATCATAAATTAATTTTCATTGTTGTTGTGCACAATCAACACCCACCGCCGTACGCTATCACAATAGACTGCCACCGGCCACCACTGACTCCCACCGCTACCACTATTGGCACCTTCAATAATCACCCACTGTCGGTAGTTGCTACTGCCACCTCCACCATTGTCGCCTACCGCCGCATCATTTTTAGATTTTACACTACTTTCACTTTACTTCAATCCAATAAAAAAAAAAAACATTAAGTTGTATTTATTTTATCTATGCTGATCTGTATTCTTTTTGCACAACATTTAATTGACATTGTATTTTTTTATATTACATTCTTTTTTTTCAGCTAATCAAACAGCACCTTAAAGGTTCATATACGTTGACTGATATTCTCATAGATGATAAGATAGCTCATATTTTTTTGCATTAAGATATAGTTTTAAGTTTCATTTGGGACAGTTTTTTTATTGTTTCTTAAATTAATTTTTAGTATCAAAATTAAAAAATTATTTCAAGAAACAGTATGAAAATTATCTCAAATAAAACTTTAATGGCTCCTTAATATATAATGAAATTGAAATTTTGGTGCATTATATATGCCTTATCGACTATAAAGTGTTTCCCATGATGGATTAACTGATGATTTACTCTCTTCAACAATTAATGAATTTTGTTTTGTCAATGAAATATCTCATTATCCACAAAAATAATCATCATTAAATATCTCAACCTTTATTTATAACTACTATAAGGTCTCAATCATATCTTATAAATATTTAATGAGAACAAGCTTTAACTCTATAAATTTAATAATAATAATAATAATTAGATTATATAATATATTTAATAAAATGCAGCCCCACTGACAAAAATTATTCCTTCCATCTAGCTACTATTTCAGAGAATTTAAAAACTCTAGCTTTCAAATATTTCATTTTTAATTAGAAATAGAATATAAGGAGTAAGCAATAATAGTAGCATGCAAAGTATATTTTGAGGGGGAAAAATTGTGTTAGGACATTTTGACTTAAAATTCATCAGAATGTATTGCAAAATTATATAATTTACGTTGAGATTAGTGTTGTATATGATATCTAAAATTATATTATTTCAATACAAATAAGATGGCTTTGAGGTCCATCTTGATGCATTTTGGGTCAAATATATTGACATATTTTTTTCTCAATTTTAATTTTTTTTTTCTCTCACTCATTATTTGTTAGATGGATTAATTATTCTGTGTAGATTCCAGACGCCGTTTCGGAGGCGAATCACAACAGTCACATCACTTGTTTGCTGGGTACTAGTGCTTGGTAGCGCCCTGCAATTCACTTCTGAATGGTCTGGAATCTGCACAGAATAATTTCTCTGTTACATGGGTGGTGATATGCTTGATGGTATATTTATGCAGGGCCATAAGACAGTTTGGCAAGAATATTAAGGCTATATTTGGGACGACTTTCTAGTTGGTTCTAAAGCAACTTTTGAGCACCAAATTTTTAATTTTGTGCTAGAAAGTTGCTTTAAGAAACAATTAGAAAGTCATTCAAAACGAAGTCTAAGACTTTGTTTGAGACAACTTTTTTCCTGTTTTTTAAAACAAATTTCAATTACGAAAAATTATAGTTTAAGAAAATTTTATACTAAAAAATTGTTTTAAAAAATAGTAAAAAAGCTATCCCAAATGAAGCCTAAAAGATATTCAAAATTTGATTTTGAAATCAGATTGGTTTTTAGTTTAGAATGGATTAAACTTGATTAGTCAATTAATGAGCTGAATTTATTGAAGATTGGGCTCTATAGATTTGAATAAATAAAATCACATCATCTAAGTAATGTATGTATATGTATAAAAAAATTAGTCCAAAATTGAATTAATATAATTTTTGACTAAAATTATTCATGAAAGTACATTTTTTTTGGAATGGGGTATCCACCCACCTACCACGGAACCACCTGGTCTTGGCGGCATGATTTTTTGGTAGTAATTTTTTTACTTAACAATATTTAAGGGCGCTTGACGGCATGACTAATTCTAGACTAATCTAGAAGAGGCATCCACCCCAGAAACCTCCCGACCCGCACATGATTGGGCCCCACTTCAGAGACTGCTGCCGCTAGAGGGAAATTGAACACGGTTTGATGGTTCCCAACCGTACTATCCGACCAAGCTAAACAACGGTTCTCCATGACAGTAAAATGAGAAAAAAAATATCAAAAAAAAAAAAAAAGAATTGTGAATCAATTATTGAAGTATCTGACTTAATTACTCAAATGCTTTAAATTTTAAAATTTGCAAATTTTTTATTATAAATGAACACATTTATATAAATTTCTTATTCAACATAGTCAAAGAACATTTATATGCAAATTAATTTAGGGAAGTGAGTACTGTAATAATCGATTAACCAATCACCGAACGCAAAAACTTGCCAAAAGACAACAGCCACGTGCCGACCTCCATCCTATGAAAACCCCGCAGACCGTACGAACCAATCTGCCACCGCCTGCCTCTCTTGTCACGGAACGGGACGGCCATTGGTCAACGGAAGAATAAGTATCCTTCTTAATTAAAGTAATTATCATTAATCTAAGCACACTTCCCCCCTCTAATACCTCCTCGGCCATTTCTTAATACTGAAACCTTCGTAGGTCAGAACCGGCCCTTCATTACCCAAGCTTGGAAGCTAGATGAAGAAATAGAAGCCGAGAAGAAGAAAGCAGGAGGAGGATCTATCAAAGTTCCGTTCTTTTCTGTCTAAAGAGAAGGAGAAAGGGGAAGAAGACTGAAGAGTGCTTCTTAGAGAGAGAGAGAGAGAGAGAGAGAGAATGACTTCTGGAGGCGGGAGACTGCCGACTTGGAAGGAGAGGGAGAACAATAAGAGGAGAGAGAGGAGGAGGAGAGCCATCGCTGCGAAGATTTTCACAGGGTTGAGAACTCTCGGAAACTATAAGCTTCCGAAGCACTGCGACAACAACGAGGTCCTGAAGGCTCTGTGCGTCGAGGCCGGCTGGATCGTCGAGGAAGATGGTACAACATACCGAAAGGTCTGATTTTTTTTTTTTTTGGGTTGAATCGGATCTGGATTTTTGGCGATGCTCTTGATCGGATCTAGCGTATTTTTTTTCTTTGAGTTTTGGATTTTTTTTCCTTGGATTGTGCTATTGATGAACCTGGATTCCTGATCTGTTTGCTCTTTTGATTCCGTTAATTTCCCCCGGAGTTTCGTCTTCTTCTTCTTCTTATGGTTCCTGTCCAATCTCTAGTCACTGAACTCGCATTGTTATTGCGATATCTTTGAGAAAGATCTGATTTTTGCTTGCCTGTTTTTGGGTTCTTTAATGAATTTCCGATCTTTAGCTATACAAAAAGAACTACGGCACGTCCTGCTCCTTTGGCTCTTATCCTTGGATAATTTGATCTGCTTGTTTAATGTGGATATTCGAGCCTTTTCTGCTTGTTTTATTGGTTTTGTTTCTTTTCTTTAATCCATGGTTATGGCTGATTTTGTGAATGGTTTTTCTGCTTTCCTTCAATAAGCTTTAGAAGAATATTAAAAAAATAAAATAAAATAGAAACCCAGCGAGTGAAGATGTGCGAGAATTGGAGAGAATTCAGGCGGGCATCTTTGAAAGGAAATACTTCATAGACCAGACAGTGAAGGAGATGAAAAATTAAAAAAAGGATAAAAAGCTCACAAGAATGGCTGCAGATTATTATCAGCCAACGAATTGTTCAGATTTCATTTCATTTCTTTCACTTTCCTTGATCCAAACAAAGCCTTTTAACTCTATTATGAAGAATTATTTCCACTTCCAAACTCTATGTTGCTCATGAATTTGAGTTTTTTTTCCTTAAAAAAACACATAGTATTGAATCAAACACCACTGCTTTACTAAATATCAGCAAAATCATAAACTGAAATGCTACTGAATTAGAATTCTCAATTACTTCAAATGCAGGGAAACAAGCCACCTCTGCCACCTCTAGAGGCCGTTGCCACTGGTGCCCCATCCACCAACATTAGCCCATGCTCTTCTCCATACCACCTTAGTCCACCATCCTCAGTCTTCACCAGTCCTGTGCCTTCCTACCATGCCAGCCCTGCATCCTCATCTTTCCCAAGCCCAACTAGGCATGAAAATACTGATAATCCAAGCTTCAATCCTTCCCATCTCCTCCCCTTTCTCCGAAACCTCTCCTCTCTCCCTCCACTCCGCATCTCCAACAGCGCGCCGGTGACTCCTCCTCTCTCCTCCCCTACTTCTTCCCGGCCTCCTAAGCTCAGAAAGCCTAACTGGGACTACACCGCCTGCAGGAATCACCCTCTCGTTGCAGCCTCAGCCCCGACCAGCCCAACTCGCAGCCGCCGCCACCTGCACCCAGCAACCATACCTGAGTGTGATGAATCTGATGTATCGGTTGTGGATTCTGGGCGGTGGGTAAACTTCCACAACACTGCTCCGGCATCTCCCACTTTCAACCTGATCAATCGAGCAGCTCCAACGCCGGATTCTGCGGTGGGTGCAGGAGGGGTTACAGAGAGGGGGATGGGCGCCACCGAGTTCGAATTTGAGAACAGGTGGGTGAAGCCATGGGAAGGGGAAAGAATTCATGAGGTTGGGACAGTGGAGGACCTGGAACTAACATTGGGTTTGGGCAAATGAGAAAATTCATTTATTTGTGATCACAGTATTGGCTTCTTGGTTTCAGCATTTTGGATCTCTCTCATGTCATGAGCAGCCTAAGTTACTTTCTGGTCTCTCTGAAATTTTCACCCTACTTCTAGCTAATTTGGTGACATTTTCTATCCATGCTGAAAGCTTTGTAAATGGCAGGTGCTATGGGTTTCAGGATATCTTGTAAGACATTTTCATCTCATCCATTTCATCAGCTAATCTTATTACTGGTTCATCCATCGTCTGGTATTGTTTAGTATCAAAATGTCCCTGGCTTTGAAAGCTGCGGGGAGGTACAGTTTATCCCTGATTTCCCACTGTTAATATTATCTGTGTTTCAGCTCCTTTTTTTAGTGTCGAGCTAAATACAATTGTAAAAACTAGAGTTTCGTTTTGAACCGCTTTCTTAATGCTTCTTCAAGTGGGTTTTCAGTATAAAACTTTTATTTTTTTACTAAAAAGCTGCTTTAAGAAGCAGTAAAAAAACCGTCCCAAACGAAGCCGAAGTAAAATTCTAGCTAATTATCAAAGCTGAATACAATCAAATAAGAACATTATTCTTTCTTTTCACAGGCTTACATAGTTCCCTTCTAGTAAATGATCAGGATCAGATACTCACAAATACAAGGAAAGCAAATAATAAAGGTCTATTTATACTCTCAAAACATCTTTTAATGGAAAATAACATATGTTGATATATTTTTTTTCTTGAATAAAAAGGAAAAAAACCATTAGTAAAAGATGTGAGATAAAGTTGTGCTAGGGCCACTAGAAAGTCAGGGGCCCTTTGCTCATGTGAGTTGTGAGCAAAGCTTAATGCTTCTTCCAGATCACTAAAAAATGATAGGTTTATCTACTAAAAATATGCATATATGGGTCCATAGAAAGGGTCTTCTCAAGTAGAAAAGGGACCTCCATTGGAGCAAAAAAGTTACCAGCAAGTACCCTAAAGATCAAACAAGCTTTCAAAACATGGCAGAGAATCTGTGTCCGGCTTGCGCTATAGTGTACAAATAATGCTCCATAAATCAAAATATCCCTGCCTTCTGCTTTCAACTTCTTTTCACTAAGCATACCTACGAATTTTCAGGAGAACAAAAAATTATCAGTAATCATCAATTGAAAGAGCATGTTTGCTATTAGAAATGATTTCTAGATAAAATGAAATTAGTACTTCTTATACTGATAAATTAATTAGTGACTAAAACACAAGGTCAACAAAAGCATTTGCTCACGAGCATTACAGAACTTGTTTATTGTAAGCCTGACAAATCTCCTGCAGAAGTTGTGCTAGGAAGTACTTGAATATCTCAAGTAAGCTCTAGCAAGAGAGACAAAAACTGCAAGAATGATCCACAAATTAGATGGGAAAAACAAGTAAAACAGTAGTTTTTATTGAAGAAATCAAACTAATGGAAGAAATAAAAGCAAGATACAATTGATCCTCAATTCGAGAGGAGGATCTCTCTCCCAATCCCTAGACATCGCTAGAGCTCAAGACACCAAACTCCAAAAATAAGAACAACAAGAATAATTTGCATAATCCTAACCCTAATCCCCTCTTCATACTTAAAGCATACAATCACCTCCTTAGAAAAATTAACTATTAAAAAAAAAAAAAATACAATCACCTCTTTAGGTCTAGCCGCCACCTCCCTTCCTACCTAGGGGTGTCAATTTGGGTCAACGGGTCGGGTTCAGGTCGATCCCGGAACTGACCCGTCACTATTCGGGTCAACCCGAACCCGACCCGTTTTTAAAAATGGGCCAGGTTTTCGGACACGAACCCAACCCGATTCGGGTCAAGGCAACCCGACCCGACACGAATGACCCGATGTTGACCTAAAATTGGTAAATTTGGGTCAAAAATTGGGTCAATCTTCGATTTTCGGGTCAAAATTAGTCAAAAACGGGTCAATCTCGGGTTTCCGAGTCAAATAGGAGTTTTCATGTCAATTTCGGGTTGCTGGGTCAACCCGAACCCGACCCGATTTTTAAAACGGGTTGATTTGTTGAACCTGAACCCGACCCATTTCGGGTTCGGGTTGACCCTAACCCGGATTTATCCGGGTCGGGTTCGGGTCGTGTTTCGGGTAGTGTCAAAAATTGACACCCCTATTCCTACCTAATCGATTTAATGGGTGGGACCCACCCAAATGATTGGGCCGCAAATTCAATATGTCGGACTATATATGTTCCGCCTCTGGTAAACATGAACCAGCCCCTTGCCAAGGGCCGGTTAGACCGGTCCAATAAGGGCCGGTCTAACAAATAGCTCGTAGGACCTTCAATTTTTCTACTCATTGAAATAAAATACTTACCCTTTTTAAAGAAATTTTGATCAATTTGTCAAGTTTAAAATCAATGATGATGCATAACCACACAATTTTGCAAATTTTCAAATATCTATATTTCAAGCAACCAAAAGAGCACTTAGAACTCTGCAGATTCACATAAGCTGTCTTGGAGATTCATAATATTCGGACCACAGTAGCAAGTGCTCTAAGCTTATTTATATAGCTGTGCGCAGCAGTACCAATATGAGACCCACATGTCTTTGGACTTGCATGCTTGGCATTTTGTATTGAATGCATCATTGCGATGGATCCTTTATATTACATCTGATTGAAACAAAGTTAGATGAAATGCCGATCTACTGTTCTTATGAATTTGAATGCTTTATGTACTTTTGTCAGCTCATATTATAAAGTGAAGAGAATATCAGATATATTTCATCTTCCTGCTGCATAATAATTGAGTGCTTGCATCAGCTAGCTGCAGAAAATTAGTGAACTCCCATATGGTTCACGGTTTTTTGAACTTGGTGAGCATTTGAATGTAGCATGCATGCTCCATTCATCATCATCATAAGCCTAATCTTAATTATTTGATATGGGCATTATGAATCTGTTTTTGAATTTATTTGAACTGTTAGAACTATTCTTAGTAAATTATTTAAATGATTTAAATTCGTGTGAATTTAAGTCTATTTGTTTTCCTTCTGGATCCTCTGGCACTAATTCTAAGAGGCCATTAAACGGAATATGTTATTGTACTTTTAAATTAGTCAAATTTATTTTCATTCATTTTTTTCTTTAATAGATGTTACTCAAATCTTTTTTTTTTTTTAAATAGGATTGTTATTTAATTTATACCTTCGATTTTGTCTCGCTCAACTTAAATAATAATGGCTTTCTTACAATAATATTTAGATTCATATAAAATCATAGACTTAGCTTCGTTAGAGATAGTTTTTTATCAATGTTTTTTTTCCTGCTTTTTAAAAAATTTTATTAAAAATTGTTTTAAAATAGTAAAAAAGTTATCACAACAGAAGCCTTAGTATCTGTTTGGGTCGACTTTCTTATTACTTATTAAAGTAACTATTTAACTTTTGTACTAAAAGCTGCTTTAAAATATTGTAAAAAAATCGTCCCAAAAAAAGCCTTAATCATAATGTAACAAAATCACCTTCAAACATCATTTTGGATTCTATGAAAAATAATTGCATTCAACTAGAACCTTTAAAAGCATGGAAGATCTATTATAAAAATCAATCGGTTTTCGAAAAATATAACTGAAAATGATTTTGACAGGATTTACTAAAAAATAGTATACAACTGCCTCTATTTTACAATGTAGCAACCAGCATGAACTTCCTCAGGAATAAAGAGACATGCAATGCTATGGTGTTGTTGGGGATGGAAATAAAACACCGCGATGAAACAAACAAGAACGTAAAAGTAAAAGAACATCAGGATTTACGTGAAAAAATCTAAAAATAGGGAAAAACCCACAAAGTCACACCCCACCAACAAATCCTCTATAAAAAATGGGGCAAAATAATTACAGAACTCTGTTCTCTCTCACTGTCCAGTTCACCTCGAAGCGTTGCGGCGTTTAAGCCTATGTCATTATTATTTTGCGGTGCTCAAACTCGTAGTGTTGTGGCGTACACAGAGCTACAACACTCTGCTCTCTATTGATCAACGCTATGGCACTAGGGAACAAGCGCCATGCGGGGCATTGTACAAGCGCCATGCGGGGCATTGTACAAGCGCCATGTGGGGCATTGTACGAACAAAAAAAAATCGCACCCGAAGAAACAATATATGCCTTTGAGCAAATGAAGCAAGTGATGAACAACATGCTAGTTTTAGCACTTCCTGACTTTAGTAGAACTTTTATGGTGGAGACAGATGCATCAGGATACGGACTAAGGCCATTACTCATGCATGATCATCGACTCATTGCCTATTTCATTCAGGTGCTCACGACCAGGGTGAGGCTCAAATACATATACGAGCGAGAATTGGTGACAATTGTCTTAGCCATCCAAAAATGGCAACCTTATATGTTGGGGTGACACTTTATAGTTAGGATAGACCAGCGGAGTACGAAGTTTTGGTTGGAGCAGAGGATGTTGACTAAGGAGCACCAGAGGTGGTTATCCAATTTACTTGGATATGATTTTGAGATCCAGTATCACCCAGGACTGGAGAACAAGGTCGTGGATGCACTATCGAGAAAGGCATATAAAGGCACATGAGAGCCATATGAGATAGGAGACATATACCATCCTTCAACCTTGAGGACAATGTGATCAGTCTTAGGGGGGAGGGGGGGAGGAAGTATTGATATAACCTTGTGGGGCCTAGGGGATCTATTATTTATTATGTAAGGAGGAGGAATTAAGGGGGAATCAATTAGAAAAGTTTATTTAAGTAGAGCCGATCTACCTCTTGAATAGTATATCAATTGTATCTTTCATTATTTGTTGAAGAGATAATAAAAAAATCAGCCCTCATATTTGGTTTCTACATTTTTCTTATATACTTGATGTTTTTACTTTCAAGACGCATCATCTAACAACATATAAAGTGATTTGATTCGACTCTGAATGAGCTTAGATTATGCACTTGAAGCATAATTAAAAATTTTATGATACTAATTGATGGACCAAATGACCTTCAAATTTTACCTACTCATAATAAAATTGAGCATATTGACAAAATAAATCTAACGAGCCTAAGATCTCTAAATTCTAACATCAATAATTAACTTACATACTAAAAGTTTATAATCAAGATAATCAATACGAGCCATCTGATCGAGTATTTTCTATTATGACTACATTTATGTAGATTTCGCTCTAAAAATATATAAATATATTCATACTCTTTACATGAAGGAGGACTCGAGGATGAGAGATCGGAAAGAACTCTAAAATAACTTTTAG